AAGTGTCGTGAAGTGTCGTGAAGTGAAGTGAAGTGAAGTGAAGTGATGTGATGTGATGTGATGTGATGTGATGTGAAGTGAAGTGTCGTGAAGTGAAGTGAAGTGACGTGACGTGTCTTGTCGTGAAGTGAAGTGAAGTGAAGTGAAGTGAAGTGAAGTGACGTGACGTGACATGTGGCCAACAATTCCCATACTTGGAATTTGTGCTTTTAGAAACTGAGCAGGTATAAAACTCTCCATGTTGTAAAATGTTGTAAAAAACGGTGGGAGAATTCTTTAGGCTAATTGAGTAAACATTCTTTCTACTTTTTGCTATTACGCTGTGATTTTGCAAGGGCTAGTGTACATATCTTGTGAATATATATATATGTGTGTGTGTGTATTTTATTCACATATCTTTATTTTTTATTATCTGTGTGTTGTTGTTGTCTCTGTGAACTGAAAGCTTCTCACCAAAACAAATTCCTTGTATCTACAAACATAATTGGCAATAAAGCTCTTTCTGACCTCTGACTTCTGATCAAAGAAAGTTATTAATTGTAGATATTGTATTATGTGAAGTTTGAACATGCCTCTTAATTTAAGAAATTATAAAGAAAAAAAGGGGGGAAAAATCACATTAAATTAAAACAACATTTCAAATAATAAAATCAAATAAAAAATAAATAGAATAAAATCAAATCTATCTGTCTATCTATTTGTATTAATTGTTAACAATCTAGTCTTGATTGGCCGCGTGTCTTGTCCGTTCTCTGTTCTAGAGTGTACTACTTCCGGTATGAGGGGTAAACCCGCAGGAAGTAGATTACTGGACCAGCAACACAGCAACAACAGAGTAAACAGACGCGTTTATTCTGTTTTTGGGACGATATCTCCACGAGTATGAAATGAGACCGTACAGTCAGTGCCTCGCTCGGACGGTGTGGCGCGTCTGTGATGGTTTGAGCCGCTGTTATAGGCATGAATGAAGGTAATAAAGCGCTGATGTTTGAGGCTCATCGAGCAGATTAGCACGAGCATTAGCAGGGCCCGACTAGCGCGTTCACTGAGCTCTTACTACGCGTGGCTTATCCTAAATATGAGTCAAATGTAATGTTATTCATATTAGACAGCAACGAGAGTACATTTGGGACCAGCTCGCCCTCATAATGAACACAGTTAATGGGGTTATCCATCAAAAATGGTTAGCTTTCTGGCTAATTAGCATTTGTTATTCTGTTTACAAATCAGGATTTTTAAAAGTTTTAGCATGTGGTGTAACAGTAAGGTATGGGTGTCCCTGCTTGTGTCCTGGGCTAGTTAGGAAGGTTGTTGTTCGGCTTTCAGGTGACCGGAGCGATCTTGACAGCTAGTTAGTAACTAACCAACTGTGTGTATTTGCTTGACTGTGTGTTTATATCTTAAACCTCCTCATAAGAACAACACTAGAGCCTGGAAGACTAGTTTATCCATTATACCTGTGTGTATCCCTCCTGAATTTTGTCCTACATTTGTTAAATGAATGACTTGTTGTAAGAAGCTCTGTGGATAGTACATATTTATTTTAATTTATATACTTCTCTAAATGTATTCCCCTCTAAAGCCTGACATATGAAATAATAGTTGGAAAAATCTATCCTAATAGATATATAATATTCAGCCTGATTGATTTCACTCATTAGCTCTGTAAGATTGCGTCAATGCTTAAATGCCCCCAGCAGACTTCAGAAGTGCTTACTTTATATTAAGCACGTCTGTGAATCAACCTAATGAATCAAATGCAATTGCTTTGCTGTGCTTAAAGCTAACAATTGATTTTGCAGAATGAGAGACGCATATTTACAAATATGCATGCACTGCAAAACTTGTTTGCGAATGTATTCAGCATGCGGAGTGGTAAAGGTTACTTGCTACCATAGCAATGTTTGAAATGTTACCACATGTTATTTATTTTTTTAAATGGAGCAGTTTATTGAACACCTTTGCACGGTTTACGGAGCAGCAATATGCAATTTGTTGTAGATGTTATTAGGCCTGTCACCTTAACTTTTGGTTGTGCGATATATTGCCCCAGAAATAATTGCGATAAGCAATATTATTGTCATTTTAAAGACCATGTTATGCCACTGAATATATAATCATAATGTAACAGCATAATAATGCAAGAAGGCCTACACACTTCCAAATGACAACAAACTTTTAATTTTTAAGAATATTTAGATCATGGAAATTAAGCATCAAAATATTAGATACCTTAAAAGACCTGAATAAATAGTAAATAAACAAAAAGTGCAAAGTAGAAGAAAAAAAAATGCTCAAAGAACTTGAAAAATGTAGATTTTTCCATCTACAGATTTTTCCCGGACCTTCGTTTCTCTGTAAATTAAGTGTGCACACTATTGCTGAAAAACACAATCTCTACTTAGCAGTCAGATGTCCGTATGCATAAAGGCACAGATCCCTAAACAAGACCATATCTGCAGATGAAACTGTTTGTAGAAGCAGTTTTTAAATGAGAACTAGCACCTCATGACTACACCATGTTATGTACCAGAAGCTGCAAAAGACACAAGCGTAAGTGGAGTGTACAAAACATGGTGACGTACATTTTTACGTAAATATAATGTGCGATATATTGCGTCACCAAAATTTATTGCGGTCATGTACATATATTGCGCGATAAGTCAATATATTGATTATTGCGACAGGCCTAGATGTTATTTATATGGCAAAAAATATAATTCTGATCGCTTGTAATGTAAATCAGTCCGATCTTGGCAGTATAGGAGACTACTGACATAAAATATGTATAAATAAATATCAGCGGTCACTCTATATCACTCAATATGTCTTAGTAAGATGATATTTAAATACTTAATTTTATGAT